TATTTGATGGATTCTTACAAATTGTTTAACTTGATGGAGTTTGAGTGGATTTGGAATTACCTTTTACATGTAAATTACAACAATGAAAATCAAACCTTTTACCTTGGGATTTCAAATTCCAACTCAAATCTCGTACATATATAATTTTCAACTAATTGATACACGTAATTTTTTTTTATGATTATCTTCTATCTTTCCATCTCTCCATCTCTCTATTCTTTTATCNAAAAGACAAAAACGTTTGATGCATTATTGTTTAATGGNGCTTCTCCAAGGTCAANTCTCTCTTTGGTTGTTTAGTTGTATTTGTTTNCTCATCCAGAGTTGTGAGNGGCTCTGTTTACTCGTNGCATATGAGTCCTTGAATGAAACACACGAACCTCTTAAGGAATCTTTGCATGCTTTATCTTTGTGTTCACAATCCTTTACATGATGATTTTGGGTTTCTAGATCCAAAATATTCCTTCTGTTAGAACAATATTCATTCAATTGTTTGTGCTCATTATTTTTACGAGGAAGATGATTCATTCGATTGTTAATAATTGAGATTTTCTATGTTTTCAATTTTTTTTGTTTCAAACTAGAACCCCAAAAACAAATTAGAAATTATATAAAATAGTAAAAAATTGAAATGAAAAAAAATCGTGATTTCAAATCCATTCTATAGAAACCAAATGATATCATAAGCACTTTGTAAATATACTATCAAAGATTTTGAAAATATAGATAAATCTACAACTTTAGATTGCANAATCTATAATGAATCATTTTTTAGTGAATCAAATCTTCAAAAATCTAATCTGATTTAAATCTAACCGAGTTGAATTAGAATCCATTATTGAATAACACCCCCTAAATGTTTATTCATTTATTTAGAAGAAGAGTTTTATAAAAAAACTACATTAAATAAAAGATACAAATAATGTAGATATGCAGCTGAGCTTCACATGGTACACCAAGCAAAAGATGGAAGCTTTGCTGTAGTGGCAAGCCTCTTCAAAATAGGCAATGAAGAGCCTTTTCTCTCTCAGGTATTTATTGGAATATATACACAAGACTGTTAATATATATGACTATCAATTGGCTTAACTAGTATATCTTAATAATAACAATTTGAAATTATGAATAGATGAAGGATAAATTGGTGGAACTAAAGGAAGAGAGATTCAAAGGGAACCAAACAGCACAAGTGGAAGTAGGGAAAATAAACACAAGACATATCGAACGTAAGACTCGAAAGTACTTCAGATATGTTGGTTCACTCACTACTCCTCCTTGCTCCGAGAACGTTTCTTGGACGATCCTTGGCAAGGTAAATATCTTTACATAGAGGTCTAAAAAACAAATTATTTTGGTTGATCTTGTTTTCGGTACGTGTAGTCTAGTGGTTGGGTAGTTTCGATTTTCAAAAGGTTTCCACGGTTTCGATTTTTGGTATGTAGCATCCATTAGCCAAAAGAAAGTCTCTCTTGGTTATGCGGTATTTAAAAGTTATAATTCACTAATAGATATTAGTAAGAAGAAGAATTTAAAAAAAAAAAAAATACTAAAACTTAATTTGATGGAAAAATTGGGAGAATGACCTATAGTTCTATACATCTTATTATATATAGTTCTACTTTATCAGTAACAACTAAAGTTAATAGATTTTAAAAACTATAAATTACCAACTTTTATGTTTATTTTCCAAAACTAGCATAGAAATTTCCAATATTACAACAAACTTATGTTTGTCTTTAGGAAGAAGATTCAAAATGATTTTAAAAGTCTTGGAGGGTAGAAAGCCACAAATTTGTCGTAGTGTTGGAATTTCAAGATTTTGGTGATTGTTTTGGAAAATAAAACATAACAATTAGTAATATTTTTGACAATCCTCCCGTATTTTTAGATGGCTGGAAACAAAGATTGACTATATAAATACATAAAGCAATTAAAATCCATGGAAAGTGACTAGTGGTCGCAAGAATTTGAGACCATAGTGTACGTAACGATATATTCAAGTAGCTCAAGTTTCAAAAACATCATTTAAAATACATTATTGTTCATGAAACAACCGATTTGAATGTCTTTTGGGCTCCACGATCCCTGCTTTTAAGCATAACCCATTATAAAGGAATGGGGTTTTGTCAAACTTATTGTTTACGTTTGAATGAAAAAGAGAAGTCAAGATACGAGAGATAAGACCTAGCTACTACTACTTTCATGTTCATTTGACATTTTTGTATGGAAATGGTCCAAATTAGTGTGACAGTCACATCTTGATTTAAAATTGCCGTGTATAATAAATTAAATGCAGGTGAGGTCTATGTCAAAGGAACAAGTAGAACTACTCCGATCTCCATTGGACATCTCTTACAAGAACAATTCAAGACCTTGTCAACCCCTCAACGGCCGGAGAGTTGAGATGTTCCACGAGATCGCCGATAAAAAAGAAACCGGAAACAAAAAGAAGAAACCTAATTAAAGTTTTTTCAAAAAAAAAAAAAAGAAACCTAATTAAAGTACTTTTTACATATCTATCAGTTTGTTTAGAATCCTAATTAGCGTTGTGAATTTAGAAGAAGGAAAAAAAAAAACTAATAATCTTACGTAGTACTCTGTTGCTGTTTACTACTTGGTCTTCGTTTTACAAATTTGATAATGTGGTGTTTGTGTGACATATGCAACGTTGAAACAACGTGAACCAACTAATATCCTATTTGGTATGATAAGAATATATGAGTTCTATATGTCCAAATAATTAAGTTTTTCTCAAAAATAAATAAATAATCTTTATTATAATGGAAGAGTTTTCTCTCCATCTAGAATGTCTACGTAAGCAAAAATATTTTTGAAAACATTTAAGTTTAAAAATGTCTATTTAATACATACTAGTTCAACTTCATTTGAGAAAGATGATTTATGCTTTAAATACGGTATTATGATCCGGATACCGTAGAGATTATGGAATTTTCAATGTCTTTCAAAAAAAAAAAAATTATGTTTGATTCTGTGTTGGTTAGAAATAATTGTTGCAAGGAAAAGAGAAAATCCAAGGAAGGCAACTTTATTGTCATTGTCTTTCCTACCAACTCCAAACAAACAATACCCGTAACTAAAATAAATACTTAAAAGTATATATCACCTCTCTCTATTTCGTAGCCAAGCCAAAAAATTCTTCCTATACGTCTTATTGATAAGTAAAAATCATTTAGAATATAACCATTCTCACCTGATATCTTACATCCAATTAGTCACTACTGAAATGCACAATACTTTATTTAGTCGTCAAAAACATGTACTAGTACACTTTGTTCAACAATTAGTGATCAATGCTGTTAATGGAATTGGTCTTACATCTTATTACTCACAATAATATCTTCAAAAATATGTATGAGCTAGTTCTTACACTATGCAAATGCAACACACTCTAGTTAGTGATCAGTGATGTTTCAAGATATATTTTTAATCGAATTTACCTTTAGTTTCCAAAATGAAACTGAATTTTTGTTTGGTTTTAATTTTAGTTGGTACATTTTTTCGGTTTGGCTTCCATTTTACGTTTTTCAGTATTTTAAAAAAGTAAAACTAAACCCATCAAAAATTTTCTTTTTCTTTTCTTTCTAATGTTGCATTAGTTTTTGGGTAATTGGCATAAATAACTTTAAAAAAACTTATAATATACAAATTAACCAAAATCACACTTTTTCTCTTACTATCTTTCTAAGATTTTTTTAGATTCCTAATTATAGTTTTTTTTTTGTTATTATTGCAAATGATCCTTAATTTTTTCGTTGGTAAAAATGATCACCGTCTAAAAAAGCTCAACCACAAATATTACAAAAAAAAAGTCAATACTAATGAAAAGATATTTTGTGATGGCATCTATATTTTCCTGACACTTTATATAGGAATGCAACATTTGAAAGCACAAAACTGTAAAGTAATTTGCTAAAATACAATCAAACAAGAAATTTGGGGAAAACACACATAAGGTAGCTAAAAAACAAGAAAAATTGCTCATGAACGATAAGCATCCCAGGAAAAGAACAAAAACTTACAAGTCTGAATTCTCATATTTATTTGTACGAAGGCCCCATTATGGAGCGTACATTATATAATATAATGCCAATCGAAAGACTGACTTTTCCAAAATTGTTCCCATTCGTTTATATTATAAAATCAATGATGGCTAAGAATAATGACCTGTCTATTATTGAAAATGAATTAACTAATAAAACACAGATTAAATACAAAATGAAAATATAATGACACTCGCGATCATTTTCATTTTTACTTAACTCGTCACTTTCCCCAAGACTTGAAGAACATGTCAAAGAATTTGAAAAATTAATGTCTCCCACTATTCACTTTCATTGTTCTAAATCATGTTTTTCCTTTATTATATCACTGTTTAAATTGACTTAACAATAGTCTATATGCTGATAACAGAATAACCAATACGAGACAAACATATCAGATGGAAATGACATAACATGTTCTGATTAGTAACACGAAACGTTACAAAAAATTTGGTGGTATAAAACAACAACGTACAAAATAATAGTAAAGTTAAAAAACGACACAATG